CAGCACGTTTTTCCTCTTGTAATTGTGTTATGCATCTGCTTAATTAATTTACTGAGCATAAAATGTGAACTGATGTTAAATCTGATATTGCATACATATACACAACTATGTTTTTGTGATATTATTTATTTACAGCATTATATAGTAATTGTTGTTTTTTCTTCCCCTTTATTTTCAGAGAGAAGCATGAAAGACCCCCGCACTGAGCGTGCTGTTGCTGTTTGTAAAAAGATTGTAAGCAGTTTTTCATTCAGCTGGAAGAAGAGGAGGGATCTGGCTACTGCGCAGAAAGAACTTAAGATCTCCGCACATCAGCTGATCAGCGAGTCGCCAACTAGATGGGGATCCCGTTACAAAATGATTGACCGGGTGCTGGAACAGGAGCGAACCATTTCTCAGGTCTTGGCCACAGACAAAAAAAACACGACATGTTGTCCTGACTTGGCAAGACCTGGAAGTCCTTGAGTCGGTGCACAAGGCTCTGAAACCCCTTGTGGATTTCACCGATGCCCTTTCAGGGGAGGACTATGTCACAGTGTCATGTGTCAAACCTGTGCTACATCTCTTCCATACAAGCATCTTGGCAGTTCATGAAGATGACACTCCACTGACCCAGTCCATCAAAGTCTCCATCCTGGACTACCTTCATGAGAAATTTGATGACCCTTCCACCGACACCCTTCTGGACATGGCATCATTAGTTGATCCCAGATTTAAAACAACGTACATTACCACAGAGAAGTTGGAGGAAATTAAGAACAGAGCCCTAAAGGAGATGGAGGCAGATGTCATGCTGTCTGATCAAGGTGCTCCAGGTTTCCAGCATATGCAAATTGTTTAGAAAAGCTCGGATACCTGTGGCTGTTCTGGGTCAGTTGATTATAAATTGTGGAAATCAAGTATTTATATTTAAAACAGAACAATCGAGCCAGAGTTAACATCTATCTTTTATAAGGGATTTTAATCAAGACATAGTTAACAATAGTCACTATTGAAACTTTTATTTTTGTAATCTGGACTCATCAGATTTTTTTGATTTTACAATTTTTATGCTAAAAGCACTAACGAGCACCTTTTTCAGACAGCTGGTTTGTTTTTCATGGTGGATTTGTGCTTGGTGTACTGTTTTTGCTGCTAAGATCTTGTTTATTAAAGGTATAGTGTTGACCACAGTAAGAGACGGTGGAACTAATTTCATTACTGAAGACGATGATTTGTGTGCAACTGATGGTTAATAAAACATTTTAAACTTGTTCTGATTTTGTATTCAATTAAAAAAAAACATCAACGGTCTGTTTGAATAGAGTACACCAGTGCAATTTTAAATACTAGTTTAAAGTAACACTGGAGATTATTTATAAAGATCGTGATATATTGTGTATCGTGATATAGCAAAATAATATTGGGATATTAGATTTTCCTCATATCGCCCAGCCCTAGGTGCAGTGATGGTATGGTAGTTACAACCAGTTATGAATCTTAGTGCACCATGGTAGACAGCATCCAACATCTGCAAGGAGCTGGCATCATCCATGTAAATAATGTCAATGGCCAGTAGGAAGGTAGAGGTTACAAGGTGTTTTCTGGCATTCAGAGTTAAGCAAGAGCCATTTCTGAAAAAGAAACCCAGTTTTGATTTCAGTTTCCTTATCAAGTTTTCAATATGTGGTTTAAAACAGAGATGTGCATCAACCAAAATTCTCAAGTATTTGTAAGAATCAACAAACTCAATAGGAACACCATGCATGGATGAGAGGAGGAAGAGTCGCTGGCACCGACTTTCTGTTGGAAGACAACATCCCTTTGGTTTTGTCAGCGTTTAGCAGCAGCTTGAGGTGGAATAAGTCTGATTGAATGATGTCAGAAGAAGACTGGAGAAGCTGGAAAACCTTGGCAACTGTCTTAGCTCGGCAAGAAACAACAGTGTCGTCGACATAGAGATGAAGGATGAGTCAGGAATGTTTTGACATACATTATTTATATAAATTGTAAAGAGTGGGACCTAAAACTGAGCCTACAAACAGGAGGTGGAACACCTGGAGAGCTGGTGCAGGAAGAACAACCTTCGCATCAATGTGAAGAAGACGAAGGAGAGGGACGTGGACTTCAGAAGGAACAAACACACCTACCCCCCCCCCCCCCCGGCTCCAGCATCAACGTGTGGCATGGAGGCTGCACAGCTGCAGAAAGAAAAGCTCTGCAGAGAGTGGTGAAGGCTGCACAGAAGATGTTGGAGTCAGTCTCCCCACCATCACAGACATCTACACCTCCAGATGCAGGAAGAGGGCCACCTGCATCATGAAGGACCACACTCACCCAGCACACACACACTTTTTGCCCCACTCCCCTCAGGAAGGAGGTTGAGGAGCATTAAGTGTAGAACCACTAGACTGAGGAACAGCTTCTACCCTGAGGCTGTTCTCGAACCAGAATCATCAGTTGGTTGTGATGCCACTTTAATTGGTGATATGTGACTTATCTGTGCTGCTGATTATCCATGCTGCTGATCTCTTGCCTTTAAGCTGTTGTATTCATACCCACCTGCTCAATACAGACTCATGTTCAGGCTGCTGTTTAATACACTGTATTATTTTACATTACTAGTGTTTAGCGTAAATCTTAGAACATTGTATACGGTTTCTTTTTTTATACTTTATATTTTTGTTAGTTCTGGATGTAACAAAATTTTCTTCCACCTCCTGAAGCACATGTGATGAGAATGACAATAAAGAACCTTGAACTTTGAATATTGTCTCGAACTGTCCGGGCCCTGAGCTGCTGGCTCTCACAAACTGTGGCCCCTGAGCAGTGGAGTTGAAGAGCCTGGTGTTGGATGATTCACCTGGATTATTGAGCAGCACCACATGTTCACACTTCTGATATTCTGCCGTTCGTAAACTTGTTGTTTTTACAACCAGGAGCTTGAGACAAGCATTGAGCCAGAAACAACCTGCTGTTGTCATTTCCATGATTATGGAGGACTTTACATCAGATTATTTCCTTCTTCAGCCGTTTTTTTGTACTTTCTCCTCCTTCAGACTATTCTTCTTTTGATACGTTAAAACTAAACTGGAGTTAAACCGTGGTCAGGTCTTTCATCCCCTAAAAACATTATTTTCTCATGTCAAACAGCCCAGCGGGATCTGGACAACGTCACAAAAGGACAATTTCTGATGTTAAAGCTTTTAAGATGTCAAGTAAAATGATGATAATCTGAAAGTCCATCCTGTGAGCCCATAAACCCGACTTTCTGAGATTAAACCAATTACCATAAGAAGTGTTTTTCACGACTGGGAACCAGGGAGAGGTGTCTCTCCTGCAGGTGCAAATCTTAGCAAGACACCTCCAAAGACAAGCCTTGGCAAACACTAGTCTGAAGTGAAACAGCTCCACCAAGTGGCCACAGCAGGAACTTTTCTGCAAAGTCCTGAAGTGAACAAATCCATTTTACAAAGTCTGTTCAACAGTTACCGTTAAGTGTGCCGGAAGAATTCTGATCAAACCTGGTGTGTTTCCTGTTGTTCCAGCCTCATTGTTGGAGAGTCCACAGAAGAAATGTCATGAAAAGAAAGATCTCACGTTGTTGGAAGCTCCATCATCCAGGTAGATAACAAAAAGGTTCAATGGTGTCATCTAGACCAGGCTCTTTAAGGGAGAAACGTTTCGTCCCCCATCCAGAGGACTTCCTCAGTCTGTGGCCTGCCAACCAGATCTGTCCCATAGGCAGCCTTCACTGCCGGGTTTCAAGACAACCTCCTGCTGGAATCTGAGAAGAAGACTTTTAACACGTGCAAACAGAGCGCACCCATCCAGAACCATCAAGACACAAGGACTGATTTCTGGATTTAAAGAAACTGGTCCAGATGACACGTGTAACCTTTTTTGTTGATCATACGTTGTTCTTTCGTTTACAAGTTTTAAATGAAGTGTTGAAGGATCAAGTAATAAGTAGAAGTGCTTACAGTTCATCTGTAGTAACGAGGAGTCAATGAAGAGTGACATGAAATGAGTTGGTGAAGAGTTTAAACCACGAAGTCATCTTCAAGATGTTCTGTGATGGGTCGACAGCACGTCTCTTGGTGAGGACAGCTCCGCGCTTTGAGTCAGTAAGTCTGGAGTTTTGGAGGTCTGCAGGAAGTTGAAAAAAGTAGAAGCAGAAAGTTTTGAAGGTTCAGCCAAGTTTGACAGAACGAGACCGTCCAGGGACGTCTCCAGCGGCTCCAGCCGCACAAGGGAACCGTCAGAGGTTCAGCACGGTCAGAGGTTCTCACCCAACATCCTTTTCACGTGGACACCTGGTGACGTCCTGCCGGCCTCGTCGCCACGGCAGCCACGCACAGGAGACACTTCCAGACACGTCTGGGAAATCTTTCAGCTCGTGACATCGTCCCCTTCCGTCGTGGGGCGAGACGTAGGCACCACGCTCTGCTGCTTCCCTCGTTTTTAAAAGATGATAAGTCGTGCTTACAAAGAGCGTTTCTCCTTTTTCTTTCTTATTTCCATCATATTTGACTCTGCTCAGAAACGTTTCATTGTTTCTGCTCCACTTCGCTCCGGTACTTTCCACTGCCTTGAGCTCAATAAGCCTGTGTTCAAATTTCAAAGCATCCTCTATAAAACCATTCTCTCGTCAAGACATTCAAACAATTATTGTTGTTTATTTTCATCTATAATACCAAAATAAACTTGACAAATCTCACCGATAATCAAATGTGCTTTATTTGAGCACATTCTAATTTTGAGATGGTGAAGAAGTCACGTTTTTATAAGGTTAATTAATCGAGGCTGATTTAATGAGGAACTTATGGGTTCGGTATGTGACCAGAAAAAAAAGGTGCCGCTTTTGACAATAACATGAATAAAATGTATAAAATGAATAATCATCATTTATAATAATGTTGCTCTTATTACATTTAAACATGGGATCTGTAACGCTGGCTCCAGTGTTCGCTCCCAACACGACAACGGTCCCTGCTGTGGTGCAGTGAGACGTGACGCACCTTCGGCTGTGGCTCTCCCCTCCAGGTGGCGCTCCACGCCGGCGTGGCTGTAACACCTGCTGAACATCACAGGTGAGCCGCCCCGCCCCTCGGACTCCACCTGCCGCTCCGGGATGGGACAGCAGTCCACAGAGGAGTGTGAGCGGGTGGAGGATAAGACATCTGCCTTCAGTGACGGCGACACCCGCACGGGTCCGTTCCTTCGTTTGCTTCTGGCGATCTCAGCAAAAGAGGTGACGCGTGGAGGAGGTGGGGGAGGAGGGGGAGGTGGGGGAGGAGGGGGGATCTGAGCGGCGCTCTCGCTCAGCCGGACAGGGCAGCTCAGCATGCGCTCCAAAGAACAGAGGCCCGGACACTTGTCCAGGTTCCGATCGTAGCTGCGGGAGCGGAGATGTTGTCCTGCGGGAGCGACGCCTCCGGTGACGCTCCGTCCGGCCGCAGGAGGAGAAACATTAACGAACAGCTGAGCCTCGATGGAGGCAGGAGCAGCTCCACACGCCTCCTGCTCACCCTCCGCTGTCTCGTCCTTTTCATGGCCGTCGTGTCGCTGAGACAAGAAACAGAAGAATAAACTGAGCAGCTAAAGTCTGGCAGCAAGTCAGGAGAGAAACTGACCTAATTCAAGGCCAAACCTTCAAACAGCCGAAGGTTCCATGCAGCAGCCGAAATAATAATAAAGCAGCCTTGGGCTACAGGCCGCTGGAAAAATAATCTAGTAGCCTTCGGCTACATGCAGCGGCGGAAATAATCAGGAAGCATTCGGCTCCATGCAGCTGCAGAAATAATCTAGTAGCCTTCGGCTACATGCAGCTGCGGAAATAATCAAGTAGCCTTCGGCTACATGCAGCTGCGGAAATAATCAAAAAGCATTCGACTACATGCAGTTGCAGAAATAATCAAGTAGCCTTCGGCTGCATGCAGCTGCAAAAATAATCAAGTAGCCTTAAGCTCCATGCAGCTGCAGAAATAATCAAGTAGCCTTCGGATCCATGCAGCTGCAGAAATAATCAAGAAGCTTTCGGCTCTATGCAGCTGCAGAAATAATCTAGTAGCCTTCGGCTACATGCAGCTGCAGAAAAAATCTAGTCGCCTTCGGCTACATGCAGCTGGACAAAATAATCAAGTAGTCTTTGGCTGCATGCAGCTGCGGAAATAATCAAGAAGCCTTCGGCTCCATGCAGCTGCAGAAATAATCAAGTAGTCTTTGGCTGCATGCAGCTGCGGAAATAATTAAGCAGCCTTCGGCTCCATGCAGCTGAAGAAATAATCTAGTAGCCTTCGGCTCCATGCAGCTGGACAAAATAATCAAGTAGCCTTCGGCTGCATGCAGCTGCAGAAATAATCTAGTAGCCTTCGGCTCCATGCAGCTGCAGAAATAATCAAGTAGCCTTAAGCTCCATGCAGCTGCAGAAATAATCTAGTCGCCTTTGGCTCCATGCAGCTGGAGAAAATAATCAAGTAGCCTTCGGCTCCATGCAGCTGCAGAAATAATCTAGTAGCCTTCAGCTCCATGCAGCTGCGGAAATAATCAAGAAGCCTT